CATTCCGAGTAGCGGCAGTGCAAAAACGAACCATAAATGGTCATGATGCCAACATCCTTTCGTCCTATCAACAAATACTCAGGCTTCAAGCAGACATTCAGACTCAAACAACGGTGCTGAAGCACGCACTCAACTCAGGCATAGGAGTCGAACAAGCTAGAAAGAAGCTTCGTGTGATTGACACGAAACTGCATACTCAGCATGCTGATCTGGCCAAGTGTCGAAGTAATGGTTCTGGTGCAGTACTCATGCCAGACCTCAAGGAACCCACTAACATGTTGGACCATCAAATCCTGAGTGACACATTTCCTGGCCCTATCCAACCACAACTTGAACGAAGGTCAAATTTATCTCGCTATTCGATAACGGATACGTACAAGTACACTCGTTTATCCCTGAGTGCTACTGTCCCTACCTTAGTCCATCAGCCCCATAATCGCATTACTTCCCAATCACTCACATCTGTGATTTCAATGACGAACATGCCGTTGCCGTAACTATGACCCTGTACCTAATATAGCCGCATATACCTTGTAATTACTGCGTTAGCACTGGCAGGGGTACTGCCTTTAGACACCGTTGGCTCACCGGTCTAGCGAGGCTGAGTCATTGCCGATGTGCCGTCTGGTACCAATCGACTACATACTCCACCTAGTCTCGGCTACCTGCCATAGTACATAGACCTTTCGTTTTCCTGATGCACCCACATCCATGCCTAGCGACAATCACAATTGGCGCGCTCAACCGTCTCCTCCGCTGTCCGCCTGAGCTCTCGGTCCACAATCAGTGTCACGCACCATCGTACATCGTACACGTCGCACGAAAGGGCGGGATCTGGTCCTACACTCGTCTTCGATACGGGAACTCTACATGGTGTCGTACGCGCAGCGCCAAGGAGCTTGCCGATAGCGAAAGTGTCGTGACGGGATTCAAAGTGAGTTGGAGCGGAGGGGGGATACCTAAGATTGGCTGGAGGCGGGTATGGATGGAATCGGATTCGTCAGGGGGCCAGACGCAGTGGAAAACTACGTAGTCCCACCTTGGTCCCCGCAGGCACGCTCGAACGAAAAAAAAAAAGACGATTTCAAATGCACAAGCCCTTGGGCAGGACGCGCCTTTTATATTTTGCTACGACCTCTTCGAGCATGCCCTTTGTTGACTTTGCGCTTCCAGAAAGCCTCTGGAGATGTCAATTGGACTGTCGACACGAGTTCAAAATTACAGTCAAGCGCTGTTTCCTCAGGTTCCTATTCACGATTGACTTCGGTATGACGGGTACTACGAAGGTGAAGGATCGGAGTCTTGAACCTCCCTCCACTCGCAGTCAGCGTTCATGTTAGGAAAGAATAGGTAAATTTTATTACTAAGATGGGGTCTTTCCATGTGCATTAGGTGCTCTTGAACAGTCATTTCGATCAGAGGCGGATGATTCCCCAGTGGTACATGACCTTGCAGAGTTTTGTGCGTGCTCAGTCTTTTTATTCATGGCTACAGCTGATCTGGAGAATTCTTACTAAATCCGTTACTCATTGAAGTGGGAGCAGGTGACCGATACTATATCCATCCAGATGTGTAAGTTCATGTACCCCTCCATCGGACTGACGCGTCTACTCTGAAAGAGGAAATGGAACTGGCAAAGGCGATCCTAGGCTCAGGCCTGAAGCCCCGCCCCAAGTGCCAGTGGAAAATACCTTTATTCATTTCAGTGAATACTCCATAGGCTGTTACACTTTTGACAATCTCACCTACTGATGTTTCTGCACCGCCGATGCACGCTGACGGGCCAGAACCCATTCCCGCTCCCGATTCTCCATGCTGGCACAGTTCTCTAGTTTCTGAGTGGTATACACCGACGAGTCCTTCCTCCCACATCACGCGGCCTCCACCTTTTCGTTCCTCGTCACAATGTTCTCGAATTGTTGTTCCGCTTTTGTTCACGAAAATCTTCATTTTGTCGCCATACAGCTCGTTGGCGATAGTATGTTGATTCTAGCTGAATCAGAGCTGCACTCTAGCTTCGATTCTCATTCGTCAAGTGCCAGTGACAGGGTGAGGGTTGCCTCCGAGTCTGGAACATCCAGGATATATTGACTATTTTAATTCCGAGCTCGAAGGAAATCCAAAGAACTGATATTATGAGATCTATGTTGGAATGCTTTCAGTCGGGATCGTACACTCCAACAATGCAAATCCGCAGCTTTCCTGCTTGCTCTAACCGCTACGCAATCCAGTTGTACTTCGTTCCCATTGGATAGTTCACCCGATGGCGTCGCGTACCCCAACTTCCAAAAGTTTGGATTAGGTGACCCAGACTGTTACAGTTTACATAACGTAGCGTTTCAAAGAATCCCCATTGCGATTTTGGAAATCTGGGCCGCTCATCCGTCTCGCTTCTGAATTTAAATGGCCGCTCCTCCGTCTCGCTGATGATGCATGGGAGCGAGTGTTACCAGTGGATAATTGGATATTCAACTCCACCCCATCTTAGCCTTCTTACGGCAGCGAATGTTTGAACTGTTGGTTTTACTACTGCCTTGTCGCGCAATTTTTCGAACTGTGTGGTTGCATCGCCCCCTCGTAGCTCACGGTTCAGCCTCGCGCCGTACTCTAATCTCGTTGGACGGTTCATCCGATCGCTTGTTTGTGCCGATGCATCCCGCGGAACCTGGCAGCGTCCTTATCAGTGCATTGATTCTGAACGCACGCTGTTATTGGACCACAAGCCGTGTTTGGCGGTACCGAGCAGAAGGTGGCTGCCCTGGACCTGTACACCATTGAAGTAATAAATATCACCACAGCGCGTTTTCACAACGTAAACTACTAGCACTCCCAATACGCGTATACGCCAGCATGGTCTGGCGATCCTCTCTCATAATGCCGTTGCTCGTAAGCGTTGTTAACAGCCAGTGTATGTTGTTACATTGTAAGTCTACAGTGACTCTGCGCTTACACCCAAGGACACGCCAGCCAGCCAAAACGGAAACCAACCCCAGACTCAAAAGCAAGGATTTGACCTCCTAGCAGCATTGCGTTCGTAGTTTCGGTGTTCTCGCTGACTACTGCTAAAATCGCAGCGTATGATTCATTTCGTCAGACTACCTCCCCAGCCGTGTAATCGGTGTCGTAGGATTGACTATCTACTTCGCCATCAGTGCTCTTATCTTCTGGCGCCTTGCGCGCAACCGCGACTGGTGGGGCCTTTGCCTCCCCATCGGCTGCCTTTGTGCGTCCCCAATTGACACCCAATTGCAGAACTCAATTGACACTTCCTCCTAAAACTCAGGCGAAGGCCTTGGTTTCTCCATTCGCATATTCATGGGCCAACCGCGGTTCAGCCACAGCCTTGGCGTGTATGTCGGAATGCAGTCTCTCATCGTGCTCTCCCCCGCTGCTTTCCTCGCCTTCAACTACATCACGTACGGGCGGCTTATACGCCTCTGTATTGGGCGCGAGCACTCGTGGATGCGACCAGAGATTGTGGGGAGGGTGTTTGTGATTAGCGATGTGTTTACTTTTATTGTTCAGGTATGTCCGTGTTCTCTTTCGCACCAGTTTCATTTAATTGTGTTATGGCTATGTCCAGGCTGCCGGTGGCTCGATGGAGGTACAAGCAAGTCTTGCAGCCGCAGGTCGTGTCATCTTCCTTGTCGGCATCATTGCGCAGGGCACGTCGTATGTGCTCTATGACTTCCTTGTTATCGGCGCACACCGCAGCATCCTCAAGCACGCCAAGCGCACAAACCGTGACTTCGACGCTGATTCCGTCCGTGACCCACGCATGGCACCCTGGTACAAGATCTTCAGCCTTTTATACTTTTCTTCCTTTTTTATTATTGTGCGTACCATCGACTTCCGCATAATTACTCCCTTATCTAGTCACTCCCACCATAGATTCGCTCCATCTATCGTGTAGCAGAAACTGCACAAGGAGAGGGAGGATACCTCCTCACCCACGAATGTGCGTAATGCGACATTCCCCTCGCCTTTTATTCTTCGTTTTCCATCTTCTTTGCGTCTTCACCCGCACGTTCCTCTTGTGTCGGGGGAATGCTAATATTCCGACCATAGGGTGCTTCTTCGTGTTCGACTCAATCCCTCTTGCGATCGCAACGTCGATATACATTTTCTCCTGGCCAGGGAATTTCATGCTGAAGGAGGGATCCATTGCCAATACCCAGGCAATCGATTGGCAGCCTGGAGGATTACACTCCACATTAAATTCATCGACGCCCGCGGTATATTCATCCATGCCGGAGATCGAGATCGGGATGAAACCTATGATGAATCAGTAAGGAAAGGCTGCACGTCGGGGACTATCGGGTATATTTAACCTGACAACAGGCTTATTCGTGCTAGAGTGCGATTACGGACTGTTTTTAGAGCCAGATATAAATATTCATACGGGACATGATTGCATATGAATGCATAGTATTCAAGAACTTAGCCGTGGAATGGCACTGGGGGTTAGTGAGTTAAACCGTCCCGGAGATTCTCACTTAACCACAAAGATCATTGAGATGACGCCTTCATAAATCCAGATTACAAGTTACAGAACAGTTGTAATAAATGCCCATTTGTAACCTACAATAAGGTGACACGGACGATATTATCGACAGTTATAGATAGTGTCTCCGACAAAGATTCCGAATGAACGGCGCCTTATTAACATGGACTATCTTGTTCCTTGGAAGGGAGGGCGAATTTGACTTCAGAACCGTGATGGGATGCGATTTCCTCATTGGTTGCTTTAACAACCCAAACTTCCCTGTAGAGGATGCAAAGCGTGAGAATTTGCTGTGCAGTGACCGGCGCAAAACGTACCGATAATTCCACAGTAAGTTCCACTCCCCTCGAACGGCAGCCACCGCCATCAGAGCAAGACACATGATGGGCACCGAAGTCAACATAGAGATAATTGCAAACTAATATGCGAAGAAAGGGTTCTCCAAATTGAAGAGAGATGATATGCAGGTGAGTGTGATCTGGACTAGCCCCCACGTGACAAGAGTAGTTGCGTAGTAAAATTTAGAGAACGCGGTCGGACCTCTCCTCGGGATAACGACACCGTCACCACACTTTTGCTTTTTTCCTTTGTTAGCCTCCGGGGCAGCCAGCCACCGCGGCGTCCTGAAGTGAGAATTCGCTGGGCCTCTCCGACGCATCCAGGTGCTTCTGATAGTCAAAGCGCAGTGAGGCAGTAATCACATATCCAGGAATAGAGGCATAGCTGGAGCCAAATATCCACACGCACAGCTTCCCGGTCAGCAGGGTTTGCCAAGCAGAGGGCGCCTCATGAGAACCATCGGAGGGTGGTGAAACTTTTGATAACGCGGGGTCAACGTAGAAAACTATAACGCCAACGAGAACAAGTAGGGCGCCCTAGAAAGGCAGGTTATATTCGACGAGCGAGTGCACTATAGAAGCGACTCACAGCCATAGTGAGGAACGCGATAATAAGGACGCGCATTGAGATATCAATTCCGTTTGGGCGAGATACGTTGAAGACGACAGCAGTAGCGATAAGAGCGATGAAAACCTGGTACTCAGCCACGAAAGCACCGGCCATGGTAGCTACAGCAGCCAGAAACAGGCCAATAATCGCAGCAATTCGCCCCTTACTTGCTTTCTGAGCAAGACGTCGATAGACGACATCTGTGTGCACTTGTAAGCGAAGACTTGGTTTGAAAGAGTCATACCACTGACCTCCTCGAATGTTTCTATGGACACTCCATTTTATGATACCGCTAAACTCTATAAGGAACTTGAGGCAATAATCAGGGTCATTATGGGAGACATCTATTCACGAAAAAAGCTTACGAATAGGAGGTGTATCCCATAAAATAGTACAGCTGCGTCAGTTACCAAGACCACCAAGAACCCGACGCTTCCGTAATAAAATGCAACAAATTCGGCCCCAAACACAACGAGGAAAATAGTGCACAAGAGAACTGCCTGCTTCTTTGATGTAAGGTCGAACTTTTCCTTGAGCGTTGGTAGATTCTGGACAGCGAGCCAGAGCTTTATGGCGTTCGAATTAGCCTTACAATATCGACATCATGCGGGATCAATTGCCTCACCCGGAGTGATGCTGGGTTAGCAAGAAGGTATCCTACTAGAGTTGTTAATGTAAATAGGTCTTCTTGAAAGCATCGAACAACACTGGAAAAGAGAGTGTGGAGAGAGAGGTTGTTTGGCGCTATGGTGCACTATGGTGGTTTCAACCCATGAAATGTTGAAATTTGTTCCGATAAGCCCACAAGCCGAAGTCCGTCGGTCTGCGCTGCTTCCCATTGGCTGCTTTTGTGTGCCTAGGTCTCCCCATACGTATCTTTCACATCTGCTGATTTACGATTAGATAAGCAAGGTCGCCCTGAACGTCTGTCATGGCAGCAATAAAAGTGGGCACAGCCGGCGAACACTCCAAATCTACGCCAGCATGGTCTGGAGAGCCTCCTTCCTGGTGGCCCTGGCCTCTCGCGCTCCCCACGGCCAAGGTAATGTCCTCAGTGCATGCTCATCGTGACCCTGAGCTTACCCACGAGAATTTGCAAGCTGCGCAAGGTTTCGACCTCCAAGGAGCGTTACGTGCGTCCCTTCGTTTACTCTTTATATTGGAATTTTCACCAGATGTGAACATTTCAATTCTCCAGATTACCTTCCCAACCGTGCGATCGGTGCTGTCGGCTTCACCGTCTACCTCATCATCAGTGTCCTTATCCTATGGCGCCTCGCACGCAACCGTGATTGGTGGGGTCTTTGTCTCCCTATAGGCTGTCTTTGTGCGTTACCTATCACTCTCCGACCATTAGCTGACACTCACCCGCACCCAGGCGAAGCCGTGGGCTTCGCCGTCCGCATCTTCATGAGCGAGCCTGCGTTCCGCCACAGCCTCGGCACATACGTCGCGATGGAATTCTTCATCGTACTCTCCCCCGCCGCATTCCTTGCATTCAACTACATCACGTACGGAAGGCTCATACGCCTATGCGTTGGGCGCGAGCACTCGTGGATGCGGCCGGAGCGGGTGGGGAGGGTGTTTGTCGTGAGTGATGTGTTCACGTTTATTGTCCAAGTAAGTGTCTGTGTGTCGGCACTTCCCCCCTCTTTGTTTTTCTGGCAGACTTATGGACGGACACAGGCTGCGGGTGGATCGATGGAAGTGCAGAATGGCCTTGCGTCCGCAGGGCGTGTTATTTTCCTCATCGGTATTATCGCTCAGGGATCTTCATACGTACTCTACGACTTCCTCGTCATACACGCACATCGCAGCATCCTCAAGACCACCAAGAACGCAAATTCGGATACCAGCGATGACCCTCGCGCGGCCCCCTGGTACAAAATTTTCAATCTCATCTACTTCTCCTCTTTTTTTATCATTGTGCGTACCGCCCAATTACGACTCCTTGTACCCCGCATTGGCTGAACCACTGCCATCTTACAGATTCGTTCCATCTACCGTGTAGCAGAAACGGCCCAAGGACAGGGAGGATATCTCCTCACGCACGAATGTATGTAACGGATCTTTGTCTCCTTGCTCATCGCCTCCATCTTCCTTCAACTTAATGTGCACCAAAATCCTAACGCTGGTATCAACCCCCGCCACAGGGTGCTTCCTAGTCTTCGACTCCGTCCCCCTCGCGATCGCGACTTCAATATACATAATCAAATGGCCAGGTCGCTATATGCCCAAGGAAGGCTCCCCCACCATCGCCCCGAACGATCTTCGACAATCAGACGAGAGGAGGAATTCATCGACGGCAGACATTACGATGAAATCTTTGACCTCTGAAGCGTAGCCAGATTTTAGGTGTCTGTACTTGGATTTAGACGGGTCTTGATTATTTAATGAGGCTTGGGTGATGGGTAGAAATATACATGTGAGGTGTGGGATTTTCTCGTGTATTACCGCAGGCTGCGCAATGCAAACAGGGGACATTCGAGACGTGCGTAAATGATTACATAAATATATTGTGGATGAACGAGGTAAACGGGTCCGAGGTTTGTTTTTTTGGAGGTGTAAAGTTTAAACGTAGGATTTGCGCCAAGGGGTTCAAGAAATGTGGTGGTGACTTTCCTACGTAGGCAGGTATTTAAGTCGAAGATGCAAGCTGTACATCTCACTAATCTTTTAATGGCAATTACAGCTGTCTCACTATCATTCTAGAAATATAGCTCAATGGCGAAAAAGAGGTCACGCTCTTGTCATACTCAAACGGTCTTCTTGTGGGTGTATAATGCCTCGGATTCAACGCCAGATGTGAAGAAGATTCATGCCGTCATTCCAACGCAGAATGTGAAACTTTGGCGTGGTTACTATGGCACCTGTCTGGTGGACGTAAATGAAAATGAAACTCTGCAAACATACATGTACAATCGTATCGTCATGTTCAATCAACATTTCTTTGCATTGACCCTCATCGGCCATCTCAGTCATGCTTCTCAGAGCTGATCTTACTCTCTTTCTCATCTGACATTCCATCCTCCTGGTCGTGACCCATGTACGCATCGAGACCAATTTGCTTATGAATCCTACGAAGGCGCTCCAAGTCGGTGGCGCCGGTACGTGCGGAATCACCGAAAACGACGTCCATCTCCTCCAGCGTCTTACCAGACGTCTCAGGAACCTACAGTCGTAAGCGTAAGAGAATATAGATGGTATAAAGATGAAACAATAAAGAATGCCGCACAAAGAACATGATGAACAGGCCACCTAGGAATGAGAATATCTGCATTTTTGATAATTTAAAACTAGTGTGATATGAAAAATGGACGACTGTTTACATACCCCGAATATTATAAAGGTTCTGTAACCGATTTTGGCCAACATAGTTGGCGTAACCTGCACAATATTGATCAATATATATTTAATACACAAGTGCGCCGCCACATACTTGGCCGACTGGATGGGAAGAAAAGATCAGATATTTGAGTTTCAATGAATGGAAATAAAAGATATCGGACTTACCAATGAAGTTATTCATCTAGTTGTGAAATGAGCAACCACTTTCTTCTCATATAGATTTAGACTTACCCAGTTCGAAGAAGCAGCGATTGACATTCCCTTCCCGCGGGCACTCAACTGGGTCAAGTTCAGTCCACGTCACACTTTATAACCGCAAGGATCTCACCGGGAAGATTTCAGCGATTATAATCCAAGCACATGGTCCTATCATAAAGTCAGTAACAATCTCGTAGTAAACCCTCCTCAACGCGCACCCCAACTGTATCCAAACGCTGAACAGTGTCCGAGTAATCAGTAACAACCCCTGATGCTTGAATGCGAAATATACCCATGGCGAATACCCAAACTAAGGCACATGCTACCCAACCAGCGGCAACGTGCCTAAGATATGCGTGAGTTGGCGTGCTCCTAGATATTATGACACAACTTACCTCCCCCAGCTTTCATGGAATAGAGCCGTGAGTATTGCCACGATGATATGACATCTGTGGAATGTCTTCCGTCATGTGGAATGAGACAAAGGGTGCAACGTACGCTGCCATTAGGAAAGCGCCTGAGATTAGCACCGGTTTTCTTCCCACTTGATCGACCCAGATGACAGCAGGAATCGTTGCAAGGAACATTCTATGTCATGAAAGCTGAGTCACATGTGCCATGAGCTGTATGAGTGATACATACGCTATCCCGACAACTCCAGTGGCGAGTAGGGAAGTGGTATTGCCTGTTAGCCCGAGATCTTGGAAGATGGTTGGCGCATAGTACAGGATTGCGTTCACTCCGGTCCACTGTTCTCCGGTGAGTGAACAGAGGTCGTGTCTATTGTAAAAGGAGAAACATAGTGTGCACGAACCTGTTGGAAAAACATAATAGCACCACCCATGAAAACACGGAGGAAGAGTGCTATATGGTCATATCAATTGAACATCGCTCGGGGAAGTCACAACCGGTACAACGACTCACAGCGGTTAGATAATAAGCTCATGTAGGAATGGAACCCGAGCAACAGAGACGAAGTAAATCCACCATCTTGAATGTCTGGGAAGTTTTCTCGACTAACTTCAACTTCAAAGAGGTGTTGCGCTTTAATTTCACTGCGGGTATCTGATCAGTTTAATTTTAAATTTTTAAATTTGTTTTGCGAACGATAGATCCGTGTTGTGATGGGCGGAAAAAAGGAAGGAATAGAATGGTGGAGGAATGAAGAGTCTCAGGAATGACGTACAGGAACTCGATTTGTACGAGGTCACTCTCTCTCGGCAACCTCCGAGCACTACTGAGCACTGTTAATGCCTCATCATCACGCCCTTTGTCCACGAGCCATCTTTTCCCCCAGAAAATTAGCTGATTTCTGACAACAAAAGGATTCACTTGCCTGGGAGAGAAAGGCATAAACAAAATTCCGGCACCTAATATGACCGCTGGAACGAGTTGCAGTGCCAAAGGAATTCGCCAAGCTGCTTCCTATAGTAATATGTAACCGAGTCAACATCCATGCTCCAAAATCCCTCCCTGGTGACAGCATGAGGGTCTCTAATTGGTAGAATCATGTTTACCTTTTGAGTTACACCGGTTCCTCCGATGAAGTTGGTTCCGTAGTCGATCCAGAATGATATCATGATCCCGAATGTGATGGCGAGCTGTTGCAGTGCGACAAGAGAGCCACGGACCTCTGGGGGGGCAATTTCGGCACTGGTTGTTAGAAACAGTGAGAGTGAGTAGGAGTCATATGATTAATAATGGCAAGGATGGATGTTCACTTATATACAGGCACGACTAAGCTCAAAGCTCCCACACCAATTCCTGTGATGAACCGTCCTAGAGAAAACATTGTAAACTACGCATTAGGAGAGAGCATGATACTTTACCTCCATAAATGGACGACGGTTGGAAAGCGGCAGTCTGAACTATAACTCCGATGCAGAAGACGATCACAGCTACGAGAAGAAGAGGAAATGTGAACAGACGGTGAAAGGGATCTAGGTTATTAAATTTACCGGTGAGAATTGTGTATTTTCGACTCAACCTGTCGGCGATAGGGCCGGCCACCAGTGCTCCAAACCAAGCTCCAAACTCGAGGATAGCAACAAGCCAGCCTTTTGTAGATGTATTGTCGACAGCGGAGGCCATCCGGGAGTCGAATGAATACATTCTGATTTATGGAGGAAGGGTCAAGACATAGCGGACAGTGATATTTTAGGAAAGCGTACGCCAGAACGCTAGAGAATACTCCC